TTTTCCCCGGAGGGGGGGGGCCGGGGGGGGGGTTTTTTTTTTTTTTTTTCCCCCCCCCAAAAAAGTTGCCAATTTTTTCCCCCCGGGGGGCCCCTCCCGGGGGGCCCCCCTTTGGGGGGGGGGGCCCCCTTTTTTCCAAAGGTTTTTTTTTTGGGGGGAAAACCCCCTCCCCGGTTTTTTTTTCGGGCCGTTCCGGGGGCCCCCCCAAACGGGGATACCTTTTTTCCCAAAATTTCCCCCCCAAAAAAAAAAAAAAATTTTTTGGTGGGTCCCCCCCTTTGGGCAAATTTTTTTTCCCTGGCCCCCCCCCCCCCCCCCCCCCCCCCCCCGCGGCCAGCAAAGTAGCAATCGCTCGATGGCGCTTCTTGTTCCGGCATGACTGACGTCTTCTCACCGTCGACGCGCTTGATGCCTACTCAAGAACCAACCGCAGACCACAGACACACATGCATGCTTCTGCACAAGGGAGCCGGACAGCACAGTCAACTGCGCTTGTCAACTGTACAGTACACACACAGCGCACGCTCCCAAATCATGGCCTTCAGAAACATTTTCTTTTTTTAGCCCCAATGAGACTGACGTCTTTTCATTGGTGGCCAGGCGGCTAGCGCTGCCGATACCTCCACACACCTGTACAATGTCGGGACTGAGGTCAGTCCCCTCGTCGAGCATCAAAACGCGCCCGGCCGCCGCCGCCGCCTCACCCTCGAGTGGTATCCCCAGCACCATCGTCGCCTCCAGGATGGCCTGCATGGATTGGATCGTGTTGCGTCGAATCGCCAGGCCATGCATCTTATGAGAGAGAGAGAGAGAGAGAGAGAGAGAGAAGGGAAGGAAGGGACAGCGGGGGGTGGGTTGGGCCGGGTGGAGGCAAGTTCTCAGTTAGCGCGGGTGTTGTTGGACCGTTTGACCCATGGCATCCCTCTTCGAGGGAACACCGCATCTACGTGAAAGATGTAAACAATCGCATCTGCACAGGCATTCACGGTCTGGAGTTTCAAGCGTGCTGAAGCTTTCATCTCTCGGAGATTGCACCCTCGACAATGTGTAGATACGAACCGGCGAACCGGCGCGTATGTCAGAGCGTACTGAGCGGGGACCGGAACGGTTCTTGATGTGAAGACAACAGCTCTCTAGGAGGTAAACCCAGTCAAAATACTTCGGCGCGCATGACAACGGGTACAGCTCCCCCCCAATCCTTTCCGCCAAGAAATAAAACTTTCAACGGCAAGTCAACCGCAAGCGCCGACCGGCTGGCAGAGTCTGTGCACAAGTAGGAACAACGGCCGCCGCGCCAAGTGCTTCCCAAAGCGACGATGCATGGCCAAATCTTAACCTTCCGCGCGAGCAACCAAACGACCCAACGCCGCCCCCGCCCCCTTCCTCTCCCTCTCGCGGCCATCTCTCAGCCTCGCCCCAGGAATCAGCAGCCAAGTCTCAGCTCTCGACGCTTTTGGCGGAGGTGTTGCGTCATTGACGAGCCCTTCTTGCCCTTGCCGCCGCTAAACCCGACTGCGCGACGCGCGACCAGCATCTCTCCCTCTGCTGCAGATGTGTGCTTACATCGGGTTTCCTTTCACGGAAGAGGGTGCGCCGGTTTTCGGCGCCTGTGGTTGCGGCTCGACGGAATCCTGGCGTTTCTCGTTCTATCTGCAGTCTGCACACTATGATCGTCGCAGAAGTGTATTTACGTACCCCTAATACCGTAAAGAGTACAGTGCTACGGACATGCTGGTCTGGAACTGATGGCAGTCTAACAAAAACACAATTGCTAAAGCTCGCGCCCCGAACCAAGCCCGGTTCACAGCGATGCGCCACAACGACCTGCCTTGCATCCATCTCACCCGTTGCTCCGCGAGAGGTATGCCCCCCTTGTAGATGCACTTGAGCTGCTTCAGCACTGTCGATTTGCCGGCCTCGCCTGGACCAAGCAAAAGGATCTGGGGGCGCGTGCGGTGCGGCGTGGCAATTCACAAAACGCGCACAAATTACTGCTGATAGTGCGAACTCATGGATGTCTTCAAACGCCATTTACTACTGGAATGATCGACCAAATCCCACCCGCGGGTCAATTGGTTGGGATTTCAGCGGTACAATACCAGCGAAAAGGGGGATGGTGGTGGGGCATGGAGGGGAACACAAAAAAAAAGTACGAAGTACCCCAGTATTAAAGAGGGAGGAGGAAATGGAAGAAAAGAGAAGGATGGAAACAATCAATTGGAAACGATGATGGAGGAGGGAAAAAATGAAAAAATAGCGCGGAGAGAGAGCGAGGGTTTTGAGCCGGATGACCTTCCGCGCAACAAACGACGCAGGTATTGAGAGATGCCCAGAAGCAGTACTAGGAGTAGAACTACAGTAGTGGTCCCGGTATAATGCCGGTGCGATCCAGCCGATTTCGCCGGCATTATACCGGGCAACCGGTGTTACTCAGAGTATGAAACAACTTGAATATTCAATGACCCATCTGTGCCAGACGATTTCACCGATATGATACCGGGCGACCGGCATTATACGGGGACCACTCCTATATCAGCGAAGAGATAAGTGGTGAATGCAAGGGGGGCGATGAAAGTAGTATGCGAAGGGGTACGAAACGAACACGAGTAGAGACCAGCATTGGTAGCTTGGCATGCATAGCCACGTGCAGTTATTCGTTTGCACTTGTACCGTTCTTATCGTTAACCCGGAGAGCAGCTTAGCCCCCTCCACGACGATCGTAGCCTTTAGAAGCAGTGCTTGCTTGAGTCGCACCGAGTCTGGCATCTTCTCCGTGGTTAGCCGGATAACGCGGTCCACACCACATAGGAGTAGTACTCAAGACACGCTCACACAAAGAGCGGCAGATGCTAGTTGAGAGACACACTTTGTTCAGTCGGTGAGCGCGGTAGATGCTAATAATTAAACACACACACAGCCTTGGTAGACACGTGCAGTTCTCCTCTGTCGCCACCCGTTTCTGTTAATCCGAAGACTAGCTTAGCCTCCCCCATGCCGTCCCCTCACGGGGTCCCAGTGAATGGTATTCAATTTAGAAGCGTTTTGTGTTTTCAACCGCACTGAGACTGACGTCTTTTGATTGGTCAGCCGGTTTGCGCCGTCGTTTCCACATGGGAGTAGTCAAGAAACACACACAAAGCGCGGCCGATGGTAATTGAGAGACACGCACAATTTGTTCCGCCGGTGAGCGCGGTCGATGCGGTAAAACGCACACACACACATACAAAAGCCTTGGTAGACACGTGCAGTTCTCCTCTGTTGCTACCGTTTCTGTTTTTTAATCCGGAGAATAGCTTGGCCTCCCCCATTCCGCCCCCTCACGGGGTCCCAGTTAATGATGACATTTGGGAGTGTTCTGTGTTATCAACCGCACTAAGACTGACGTCTTTTCATTGGTCAGCCGGTTAGCGCGGTCGATGCTAGCAACAAAGACACATACCCAGCCATGGTAGACACCTGCAGGTCTTCCACTGTTGCTAGCACACCGTTTCTGTCTTTACTCCGAGCATGCCAAACGCGTCAGGCTTCGGGTGGAAGCGACCCATTGGACAAATCATGTGACACATGCTTCTTGCTGCTTCTAGGAGAACGAAAATGATCATGAACGACACCACAGAAGAAATCGCCACCCCGCGATCAGCAGGCAGAGCTCTATTAATAGGCGTATGTACACAGCAAGTGCGTAGAATATACTTAAAAAAAATATGATCGATCAAGTGAGGGGCGATGTCCTTGGAAGAGAGGAGCAGGCTCGATGGGACTTTCCAAAAAGCACAGCACCGCCCGGTTCTTCACTCTTACCTCAGAAGATCGCAAAATCACCGAAAGGTTGATCTCGCCAAAATCCCGATTGAGTTTGCCGTCCAGGGGGTCATTCGATCCGCCGTCAGGTAGGCAGGCTGCGATATCGTTTTCGGAACTCCGAAGACTTCAGAGTCGGGGGGATTTTTACTAACACCTACATGATCTACACGCCCACGCGTTTTGCTTTGAATGAAAGCTCTGGGGGCCGGACGGAGATTCGCTCGTACGATAGGAGATTAAAGTTATGCATCGGAGGAGATAATGTGCTGTCTGGATCGATACCCGAGCGCGCGCAGTTGGACGCGTGGTTGTCGACGTCACAGCTGTAAGTCGCTCACTGGCGTGCCGCTGCCAGACATACGTTCAAGGTTGTGCGCCTGCTGCTGTGTTCTCAGTTCTCAAAAACAGAGGCCTGAAACAGCTGCAAAAAACACTTCGGAATGTGCATGCGCAGAAAATTACAGCAGTAGCAGCATACGGAATCCAACCCGTCCGAGACGATTACAAGTAATAGGTACCACAGCGGAAGGCGCAGCAAAGGCGAGGGCGGGTGGGACACAACATGCACGAGAACATATTGAGGGATTTTCCCGGCAACTTGAGCCCGACACGTAGAGGCACAAGAGCGTGAACAGCAGTGCAAGCTATATACTAACCTGCTTCCTGCTGCTTATTGTCAGACTGATCGGCAATGAATGGCTGCGAGGTCGGCCGCGGGTCCGCACCTACACCCACACGAGCGCATGATCAAGTCTCGTTCCCCAAACTATTCTGGCAGTTGATGATCTTCTATGTTTTCCGTTTGCGCTTGTGTGGGTGGCAGCGGCACCTTTCTTTCCTTCCGGCGTTTGTACAATGCACATGAATATGTGTATACGCCGCCGGAGACGAAGAGCCCTCCTGCGAGTGGCTGCATGGGTGTTTGAAGGGCAGCAAGACGGGGTACTTGCTTCCTTTTCCGTCGCGTGCTGCAACCCAATTACACGTCGTCTTTGAATACAGACCGTCAGCACGGGAAGAGAGAAGAAATGCATGATATTCTCGAAATCATCTTCTTCAAATCTGTTGTGTTCATGTAAACGCACCCAGGAGGCGTGTGAGCGATCTCCGGGTTCGAGAGACCAGCTTCATTGCCACCAACCCCGACGAACACTAAAATTTGACCTTCCGCTTGGCTATGTATGATCAATCTATACGCACTCACGCACGCACGCAAGCACGGACGCCAACGCTCAAGGAAGATGGTGCGCTCTGCTGACGTCTTTTTCAACTTTTTTTTTTTTTCCTTGCATGACACGTCTATGCTGAACCGAATTTGATTGTGTGCTATATTGTATGCTAGTAATTTCTAAAGCAATACCCGCCGGCGCTCCCCGAGAGATCTCGTTTTTAGTGTAGAAAAAACCCGTCGGCGTCACTTTTCGTTCTTGTGCAACAGCGGGGAGAGAGAGAGGTTGCCGATTCACGGCCCACTGGGCGACCAACAGCTACATTAATGTAGGCAATGGTAACCGCGAGACGTCGACAGGGTGCTCTCGGGCGACAGCACGTTCGCGCGTTCCTCGGCTCTATCGATGCCGACTGTCTGAACTGCTGCAGCCCGCGCGGGGGGAGGCAGCAACACAGAGCACCGTCTATTAGACAGCACACGAACACACGCTGATGATTCTCGGGCCCTATTTAGCCACCTGGTCGCTCGCTCTTCCCTGCAGACCATGCACACACGAAGCCTTTTGTAAATCGAGGAGGAGACGGGAGAGAGGGGGAAACCGGAAGAATACAAGGGTTTGCGTCGCCGACCCGGTGCCGAACTCAGCGCGAGGTACACACAATTACACGCACACAATGGGACAGGCTGCCTCCCGGTCACAACGGCATCGGGGACCCTACTGCTGCGGACTCCCACCTTGTAATGGGTCCGCTCCTCTTCATGTAACCTCTCCAGCTGCTCGTCCACCTCGTTCTTAGCCGCATTCGCCACCACCATCGGCTGCGACGACTCGCACCCCATGGTTGGTGAAGACGCGCACAAAGCTCCCTCTGTCTCCGCCTCTTTCTCTCTCTCTCTCTCTCGCGCGCTCTCCCTGTCTGTCTCTCTTTCGCGCGCGCGGCTGTGGCGGAGGGGGCTCGGGGAGCGGCAGCAGCGGGAGAGTGGTGCGACAGCCCGCCTCTTTTCAATAAATGAGTATTTGGTAGCTTGCTGAGAAAAAAAAAATGTCTTGCCGTTGGTTGCCGTGAAAAGCGGAAAAGGCGTATTCTTTCGGGTCACGAAAAGACTAAATAAAAAGCCGACCTCACGCTACGTGTGGTACGTGCTTGTTGCGGGCGTGCATGATGTGGGTTCTCTTGAGGGTGTGTTCTGTGATCAGCTTTCATACTGCCCCAGCGGCATTTGAGTGATCATTTTCACGTTGCATAATAGTATGGAGCATGCATGCACACATACATACATACAGAACTGTGCATTAAAAGCTGGTATACTATAGACAGACGTGGCGTCACCCTTTCTTTGCGTGTGAGTAGTGCGTGATGAACCACACGTTGTCGGCCACGCGTTTTTCAGAAGAATGGAAACTATTCGTTGTATGGGGGGGGCGCGGGAGTGCGATGGGTGCCTACTACGAAGTAGGTACAGCAGGCACTTTCAAAAGTTAGTGCCCAACTTTCCGAAATCCAAGATCTTGGACCCCGCAACCCGCACCTGTCTACAGAGGAACGACAGCAGTGAGCCTCCTGGTCTTGCTGGTATAACAGTATACTGGTATGCATATATGCAAACAAATAATGCTGGGGTCGTCGGGTGATAATTTTGTGGATGGTTCCATGTGCGTCGCGAGCGTTATCGTTGGTCCTGTGTCTCGCACCCACAGCAGTATCTAGTCAATCAAGGTCTATCTCACATGACAGCATCGACCTGGAGACGGGACCGATGTCCTTGAGATATTGGGATCTTGGATGAACGGACCAAGTTTTACCTTGGTGTATAGTCGTTTCCGGGGGAAAACAAAAATCGCTCCGCGCCAAGGAGTGGCGACGTGCCGACCCCCTCGTCGTGAGGATAAATCCTTTCTGTGCACAGCACGGTTCAATGCCTTTTAATAGTGGCGTCACGCTACCCCGAAGCTACCATAGGGTGCACCGTGGTGCCGACGGCCGAGCCGAATTTCCTCCGCTGTTGCTCCCGTGTTTGTTTCGAAATTTGAAAAAAATCCGCTTTTCTCTTGGAGAAATCAATTTCTCGACGGCTGCGCCGGCTGGCTGCGCCGGCTGGCTGCTGTATTGACGAACAAGTGCGTCTTCTGCCTAGGGACTAGAGAGACCCAGGGCTGTCTGGTCGACGCCAACAACTGGCGTACAATGAGAAAGACCGGTGCAACTTGGGGAGTACACATTATTTTTGTGTTCGCCCCTGTGCCGAAAGACGCTGAGAAAGTGGTGTGTCTCGTGATGTCTCTCGTCGTCGGTGTTTTCTTTTCGTCAACACTCCGACCACGCGCCAACCGGATGATCAATGACAAAGGCGCCAGTCTCAGTGCGGTTGAAAACACGAAATGCTTGGAAAGGTCATAATCTGGGACCCCGTGAGGGGGTGCCATGGCGGAGGCGAAACTACTCTCCGGTATCTACGAAGACAGAAACGGGTTGCATTGCGTGCTGTTGCATCGACCGCGTTAACCGGCTGTGACCAATCAAAAGACGGCAGCCAAGCCGGATACAAAACGCCAGCACGCTTTCTAATCAAAGTGTTAAGGGATCTACCGACGGGGGGGGGGAGGAGTCGATTGACAATGTCATACTCCTGAAGAAAAGGAAAGAGCCAACACGACCGAGCAGTGATACTGTTTGTGTGTGTTCGTCCCTTATGTTGGGGTGCAAGTCTCGTCTGTGCCCGTCGAAAACGTGTTGGGATATTCGTCGGAGGAGGAGGAGGAGGAGAGCGACGGCAGGAGCGCGGCGACTAAATTAATGCCCCTACGCCAATTTTGGCTGGAGAAAAGAGCAGTGAAGCATAAAACAGCCTCGCGCAACTCAAAAAGCTGCCGCCGGCGAGTCCACACCCTGACTCTCTGGGGAACGCAGCGTTAAGTACAAGGCGCAGAAGCCTCCGGAGAGGTCGAACGCACTGTATGTGTGTGCATGATAGGCAACACTCACTAGATATCGATATGATAGGCAACTCTCACTAGATATCGCGGGGTGCATGACCAACGGCTCGGAGTTCATCCCATGAACAAGGTTCATGCCAGGGGTCGCGTGCCTCCCGGGGCTCCGCCACACGGCACCAGCACCAGTGCCACCGAAAAAAAAACCCTCCAGGAATGGTTTCAAGATTTGGATTCGATCAAAAGACAGGAGAGCTGGTGGCCCTTAAACCATCAAACGACTAAGCGCCGCGGGCAATCGAACCACCGATGTTGACTTAGTAGTCTCCTCCACCCTCGTCTGCGAAGGTCCCAAGAAGGACCGGACAAATTCGACGCGCAACAACCGCCAGAAATGAACAAGCAGCAACGCACGCGTGGGAACGGGAGGCAGGGGGGGGGGTGGAGAGAAAAAAATGAGGGGGCAGAAACCCTCGGAATGGCCTTGCGATATACATAAAACAAACTCCGCGGATGAAAGGAACGGGGACAAGTCGCCATCAAACACGAGCACGCCCACAGTCGAGCAACGAGCGAAGCCTTCGGACACCGCAGCACGACACGGCGCAAAAATGGCATTCGACATCATGAGCAACACCCCCACAAACAACATTTTTTCGAGCGTGTCCGGCTTCACGCGGACAGCTTTTCCCGCTGCGCTCGGAAGGGCTCCAAGCGACTCTCACGCGCGCAAACGGCTGGTCGGGTCTGCTGTTGCTACAAGGGTGAAGGGGTACCGGCGCAACACCATCATCGCATTGACCCCCCTCCCAGTAACAGAACCTCAGAAACAAGGTCTTGACACTACATCTATAGAAGGAAGGGACGCAACATCGGAAGCCGACTTACCGCCGCCGCCGAACATGTCCATGCCCCCGCCCATGTCGATCTCCTCCTCCTCCTCCTCCTCCTTCTTCTCCTCCTCGGCTGCCGGGGCGTCGCCGCCGCCGTCGCCGCCACCACCACCACCGCCGCCCCCGCCGCTCCCGGAGCTAGCAGCAAGGATGAGCTTCTCGATGCCAGCCTTAGCCAGGAAGCCCGAGAAGAGAGTGGGCCAGTAGCCCTCTACCTCGTTGCCGGTGGCCGTGATCAACGCGCTGAGCTGGTCGCTGGTGATCTCGGCCTGGGCGTTGGTTTGTCATTTGCGTTGGCCGCGCGCATACGTAACCGGCAGGGAACGGGATATTGCACGGCGGGGTTACTCACGATGGACAAACGAAGATTGACTATTATTTCGTGCTTCGAGAACCTTCGATTATTGGTGGAATGGCACCCTTGAAATCGGGTGAATGGTAAACGGGAAGATGTCTCGATGTACACTCTTACCGCCACGGGAATGTACACGGTCATGGCTTGCGTGAATCGAGCTGCAAGGGAAAAAACTGCAATGTAAACTGGCGCTATGGACGCGCGAATGATTTGGCTACGCACACGTTGATGCTCATTGCTGTGGCAAATTGTTGTTGCCTTCTCGTTAGAAATGACCCAGCTCAACCGACAGGTCCGCTTGCGCAATCTACCTTGGTGAGATAACGAATAAAAGTTTAACGTGGCCAAGCATCGTTGACCCGGAAGCAGATTCAGGCACGAATAAGAGTAACAACGCCCAGGCAGACCCCCCCAGCCGTGAGCTAACTTTTTTGGGGATAATGTATGATCTAGGCCGAAAAAAACGAAGGTAAGCCTGAAAGGAGAGAAAATCTCATGACGCTTCAGTGTCTTCGAATCGCTGTGGGCGATTCCCATGCGGTATGTATCTACAAAATAGAGTAGTAAGTACAATTGGAGAGCTCGGGCTCAACAAGTGTTGTAGGCGTCACACTTTCGTGCGACAGGTGCTGCATGGGTTCACGAAGAGTAGCAGCATTCGGAAGCAGGTATCATGTGTGTGGGGATGGGGGAATGCGCGCACAACACGTCTTGTCTGTTGCTTGGAAACATCTGAAAGCGACAGGTACTGCTGCCTGTAGACACCAACATTTTCAGGAGGAACAACAGCATCCTAAAAAAAAACTGGTAAAGCACTTGTTTCGCCTGTGAAGTGTGCACACACAAGTAGCCCACAAATACGATTTGTCATGCCCTCGACTGCAAGGAGGGTGCCTGGTTACGTATGGTCGGTGCCGAAGCAGTACCGGCAGGGTTATTCGTTGCTGTAGAAGAGTATGCATACGATACCGTATAAGTTACAACAGCAAACACCGCCGTCTGTGTCCAGCACTGCTGTTGTTACTGCTGTACGACGTATTCAAAACAAAACCGTCGACGGCCATTTGACAGCGACACCCCCAACGTACCAATGCGTCCACAAAGATCGCACCATCGTATCCCGTTCTTGGGGGCGCGTTTTCTCAAGTGCTCGATAACAGCATTCCTGGGAGTTTGGAGTGCTCGCCACCAAGAGTGGAGCGCTATGCGTACAGCAGTCCAAGTTCACGGACGAACCTTTTTTGATGGGCACAACAGAGACGTGGAAGCTTAGCCAACGCTTCACCACAAGGACAATACTCGATCCCCTATGCCCTATTCGCGATGGCAATAAGTAAGGCTACTTTCAACCTGCAGTCGGTACACTAGTAACCACGCAACACAAGCTGTCTCGGGAGCACCAAGTCTATGGTCAACAGCGAGCGGATTCAAAGTTGGAGGATCACTCACATCGCCATCGTAGAGAGCCAGGGCGGCGTACGAGGTGCAGAGTTCGTCGTGGAGCTCCTTGGAGATGCTCATGGTGCAAAGGAGTGGGTGGCTCCAGGAATCAATTTAAGCCGAGGCAGAAACCAAGAGTGCCCAACACACGGCACACCACCACCCACAACCACCGAGAGGAGGAGGCCCTACAGGTGGCATTACGTACACCCCTGATATTTTCGGAGATCTTGCAATCACGTTCCCCCCGTGTGCACATGATGTACACACCGCATCGTACAATTATCATACCTGACAACAGAGCCGCTCAGAGCAGCTGAGCCCACACCCATCTGTGCCTCGTGGGATTCATACACATAAGCGAAACTGCTGAGAATCATGTCGACCCAGTGCTTGCGGGACGCAAGAGGTTTCGCTACCGGGAACGCATCTGCAGGCGCTGCTAAGAGAGCCACCGCAACTTCAGGAGCGTCCGAGTTGATAAACGATGGCGTCGTCGCTACGTCGTCAGTTCTGCTCATCGGCTCCTTCTTTTGGGTGGGTGGGTGGGTGCGTGTTGGTCATCTTGTACACTCTTGGGGCACACATTCAAACTGCGCAGCAGTTGGTGCAGCTGACACAGTGAGCCGAGTTGACGTTCACCAACTTGTACAATGCACCGCAGTACGGTTGCGCCGCATTTCCGGCTCCAGCGTTTGACCTTCACGCCCGACTGCCACACCCATGGCACTGCTAGCACAGACCCTCCCACAATTCGCACCGCTGTACTCTACGGTACGGCAGGCAAGAATTGTTCACTACCTTCTGCCGTGTGAGATGTGCGAGGCTGTGAAATCCGACCACGTTTAGGCGATGTACCTGGGTGCGCGTTCTCTCCTGGTGTATACCCCAGGTGCCGGCATATCTTTACTACGTGTGGAGAAATAAATGCAAGACTCGGAGGCGAAAAGCTCTGTTCCTGGCCTGCCTAGTGGCGTTCCTGGCGGGGCCAATGCCGGTGACTCGAAGAATTGCCAGGCTATCGGTGTGGAACAGGTACATCCAGTACTTCAGTTGATCGTTGTGCACGTTGTTTCGCTGTATTATGTCGTGCGTTCGTTCGTTGGCTATGCAAAGCCGGTCGCCCCGGTGGTCTAGTTGGTAGCCTCGTAACCTTCTAGAGGTCAGGTCAGGGTTTCGAATCCCGGCGTAGGCGAGCTTTTCTTGCAAAGTGAGTTTTTCTCTCGCTTCCGCTCCTGGCCAAGTGGATAGCGCTAGTTCGTGTGTACATAGAGGGAAAAGAGTGCTGAACTCTTCTCGCATTAAAAATTGAAGGCGAAGTACCGCAGGAGGGGAAGGTAGAGAGAGGCTCTTCTGTGTGACCACGGGTTGGAATAAACGGCACTAGTGCTGTGAGCGCTGATTTGAAGTGAAGAAAAAAAATGTAAACGGCTTCTATGGCTGAAAAGGTTTTTTGTTCAGGTGGGTGAACGGTGGGCCATATTGGACATGATGGTTTGTCCCACTGCTGTCCGTGGACCCACACCAAATCGAGAGGATCGTCATGTGTTGATACTGCGCTTATTTGTCGGCGTACATCGCAATTTGGTGCATGGCTACTGCAAGATCGTACCGCCTATAATGCAAGTACTTCGCGACGAGCGGGTTTGGGTGCAGTTGGCCTTTCAGTCACTGAACGTTTCTATGGAGTCGTTTTGGTCGGTCTAGTTGATCCCGTTCGTCCTTCGTGACCCATACACGCGCGCACCCACGCCTTCGACGATGCGATAGGTTCTGGAGATACTTTTCCGGCAGTTTTGTGGGAGAGATGGACGCTTGCAGAGGGAAGCAGTCGCTATTCTGTCTCGTCCCTCACGGGGTGTTTCCGTTCGGCGTCGCCCTCGCCTCGCTCGGGAGGTGGGTGGGTGGGGGCGCTGTTGATATGCCATATTTGGGCTTAACGCTACTGTAACCTCTTAATCGACAGCCGGCATGGGTTAACGGCGCCGCTTGATATTCCTTGACAATCCACCTCCTTCCTACCGAGCATATTTTCCTGCCGACAGCACCGTCAATCAGCTGCTCGCCCTGAAGCGCCAGATGTATTCTATGTATATATGCGCCCGCTTAGTTGTCAGTTTTTGGGTTCGAAATGATTCTTTTATGCGCGCATCTTCCATTGTGTGTCATGCTTAACCCCGCCCATCGACGCCTTCGCACCACCATTCCGGTTGTAGCTGCTCCAACAACCACCTAATGCACAACGAATGAACAAACCAGGGCAAACGAAACCGTCTTCAACGCCGCCAAGCCGGTTTGCGCTTCAATTATGCTACGGACACCGATCATCGGGAATATTCTCCGCATGATCGGCGCCGTGGGAGCTTCGAGAGACACGATGGACGACGCGCTAAAGCAAGGGCACTCGCTCAGTCTGGTGCGGTTGTCGAACTTGTAGACACGAATATATATTTTTCGGATGAGCTTATCGTGTTCAGTTAGTGCCTCCCCGAGTCGTTCGCGGACCATACACGTTCTAATAGTGCAAGGTGTATTGTGCTCTCACTACCTTGCATCGAGTAATGGCATTGAAGTGCATTGCGTCTGGGAAAGGATAGTGTTTACATGTGCACCCCTTCTTTTCGTAAGCGTTCAAATTTTCGTTGCGAACACGCCTCATGTATGCTAGAAAATAGAAAATGCGTAAAGATGCACGGCAAGGTGCCCCAGCTGGTATAGTACAAGTATGATTCTCTCGCCTCCCGACTGGTTCTATCCCAGACACGCTTCGAAACCTGCTTGAACCCGGGGGATTTTTCCTGCTTTGGCGGAGGTCCCCCATTTCGTTAGTGCTGACAATATCCGAACAGATATCATAGCCGGTGGATTCTTGTACTCTGGCATGCCTCCTTTGTGTCCCGTAAAGGCACCAGGCGGGATCGGTGAGATGTTCTTAGACGGAGAAGCGGGAAAAGAGTTTGCGCTCCTCAGGGGGCACAAGGGGTTCGTCCGAAGAGCGATGGCGCATGGCGTGCCTCTAGTCCCTGTTTACGGTAAGGAGGGAGCACTGCTGCGTTGGCCCGTTGAGAAGTTGTTTCGTGGCTTGAGAGAGAGAAAGGGAAACGCGTATGTGAAGGCCTAGGGCTTCCTGCGGGTCGACATGCTGGTCTTGCCTTGCAAACGTTGAACAATGAGTGTTTGAGTGTTGTTGCGCAACTGCTGTCGACAACGGCGGACCCGAGCTTCGTGCAACGTGCAGCAACGTTGCTGCAAATCGAGCCCACCTCGTGATTGTGTTTCTTTGATACACGATACTAGATATCGCCTTGGTTCTCCCTGGGTCCTCCGTTCTGAAGTAATATGTTTCCCCCGCGTTGATTCCTCCGTCTTGTTTCGTGCACACGTCCACGCTTGGGGCTCCGGCTAACCTCCACCTTCGTCTTCGACTATCTTTCCCAACCCGGGAATCACAGTTTTTGGCAACTCCCAAACTTTCAAGCGTGTGCCTCTACCGGCTGCCCTAGAGAGCCTTTCGCGACTGCTAAAAGCGTCACTAGTTCTATTCTGGGGGAGATGGGGCCTGCCAATTCCGTTCAAGGTATGCAATGTTTGATTTTCGTGGTGTCTTCACGAAGTGAAGTTTGGCAGCACGGCAACAAGTAGTGCGAGGACTAGTTGCATCGCATGTAACACTGAAATGCGGGGGAGAACAATGTCCGTACCCTTTATCAAAACACACACGACGCATCAAACTTCTATAACATAGCGACCAATCGCATCGCTCCCGTGCGGCACGTTTAGCTCTCGTTTTCTTCTGTACTCAGTCGCTTGAATATCGATCCGCTTCGTCCTACTTAGGATTCAAACATGTAGATGGATTTTTGTTTTTGGCAATGATTTAGAATTCATGTGTGCTTTGGCTTGAGGAACAAACCATTCTGAGCTCTTGCGAATCATTTCTGAGCTCTTGGGTACGCAACGCACCGTTCACATCTACAACAACCGTATTTGTCTTGCATCAATTACTGCCATTCGCGGTCCACCTTCCGTGTCTCTTGTGTGTCTTAGATACTGAATTCCTCTGTACAAGTGGCACAGCAGGTGTGGTTCCTGACGTTTCCAACTCGTGCGTTTCATCTTCAGGTGCCATTGACATTTGCTTTCGGGGAGACATTGGACATCGAAAAGAACTTGTCGCCGTCAGATGAGCAGGTGGACGCGGTTCACGCCCGATTCTGTGAAGCCCTGGCGGACGTGTTTGACCGATACAAGGGAACTTACGGCTGGGGCGACACAAAATTAGAACTTCGGTGACACGTGAACTCACCCACACCAATGAGTTGCGTCTCTCTTCGTGATGAAGAGTATACAGTGGTTGGGGCGGCAGGAAGTCGGAGCTGCTGGTGCAACCATCGTTGGTCGTCTTGTTCGTGGTACGAACAGTTGTAGATATCAATCGCATCTGGCCACGCCCCCCCCAGACCGCAAACACCGAGATGATGTTTGTGGATGATAAGCACTTGCAGTTGGGGAAACACAGCGGAAGTTGGTGTCCAAAGAGGCAAGATGACACGTGCAATTTTGAGACTCGGAGATCTAAGAGATGTAGACGTCGCGCACTTTGTTTGGAGAATGCGACCAGCTCACGTTGCAGGTGATGGTAGATATCATCCGCAAGGGGGCGGAAACGAGTGACGTTAAATCTTTTGTATCTCCGCACATGTTGTAGCAGAAGCTGGTTTAGGGTGGTACTGCTCGTGCCTACCCACCTGCTCCTTGGATTTACGGAGGGGAGTTCCCACAACGTGGAAATGCGTAATGTTTTTGCGAAGTTGACATATATGTCCAAAAGCGATGACTGGCCCCGAGAATTGTCCGCGTTTCCTGGTGCAAACGAACTTGGCGTAACGCCGGCTTTGCCCGTGTCGTCCGTGTCGAGGGCGAAAACGATCGTGTTCCTTGTTTCATCACATGCTTCCACACGTGCCGTAGAACAACAAGCACATCCGTTAGTTTGAACGCGAACAGATCATGAATGAGTCGGCACGTGATGTTTGTTTTGACTCTTCACAATACAACAAGTGCATACCTCAAGATTACGTGTACCCTTCGGCCGCTCTCTTGCGTGCGAACGTTGTGTCGTAGGTTGCTCCATACCCAACTTCGCGATTTCTTCTCACAGGGAGATGGTAAGCGACTAAGCCAAGGAGATGAGAGAAGGAGACCTTGGGCGCTACAACGCGCGCCCTGCGTATACATGCCCCCACGTCAGATGTGATGCATGGCATCCATCACGTCGTCTACTCTGTATAGTCCCACTCTCAACCACGTCCCCTGATCCAACCCCCTCGAAGGCTAAAATACATACTAACTGCGAAGCCTGTCGACACATTCTTCCTCCAAGTTCCGTGAGAAGACTTCCGTTGGCTTCGACTCCTACTTTACAACTGGAGGGTCAGGCGTCTTCGGGATACAAACCGATTCGGACTGAAACCAGGCGGCTACAACTGAATCGATAGCGTGCCCCATTTCAAACGTGGCACACTTGGTGGAGCAGGGTCCTCTTGGTCTTCCGGGTGAACACTTCGAGAACGCCCGCCGTCTCGTCTTCTAACTGGGATACACCGTCAAGCTGAATGAAAAGTGAACACATGCAACAGCGGGGGCATTCAATAATTTTTTTTTAGACGGATGCATTGACGGGGAGTTGTGGAAGGGGTAAACCAGAGGGGCAGACCGGACCATCTCGAAGTTGTTGCTTTCGGTTGCTTGTCCTCAGCGGTAAAGAGAGTTCGAGTGACTTGGGCGGGGACGTCCTCTCTTTCAACAAGTATGCTGAAAAATGGAAACCTCGTGTCCTTTGAATCCGAACCAGGAAGGCACAAAACGCGGTTAGACACACAACCCATACGCGATCTTGTCGACGCACCGTGTCGATGGGTATTGATCGTTGTATTTCTAGGACAAGGGTGGAGGCAACGGAGGGGGCGCAAGGCGGCCGCAACCAGCACTACTTACATTACTACACTGTAGGGTCACATCGGGGGGATTTCGTTTGGTTCAAACGCATTGAACGGCAATCACACCGTGCTACAATGAATCAATGATTTCACTACAACACCGACACACCCATTCGCCTGCGGTGCCCGCCCACCGCGAGGGATGGGACACTTGGGGTGCAGCAACGGCAGGTACACAAGACATAGATGCAGAGATCTTTCGCTCGACGCTATTGTGTCGTATGTAGGATACTTCAAATCACAACGTGAGGAGGGAGTGAGACTGAATTCGTCTCGATGGTGGAATTGTCACATACTGTTAGGAGAAATATCTCGCAAGCTTCCGGATCGACATACAGTAGTTTTGAACGAAAAATCAACTAGTGACATCAACTCGTGATTCCTCAAACCAATACATGAACGCCACATTGCACAACTAAACACATCGTACTGCACAGGAACTTTAACCAGGCATATCTTTGCTCTAGCTAGAATACATTTATTTGCAAACAACGTAAGAAGGCAGGTAGGCCAAGTGCGCAACGCATCCTGAAAGGACCGACATCTGCACCGAACACGAACTCACATATAACCAAACATGTGACCAGCTATCAACCAATATTTACCGTGCGGCACAGT